AATCATTACCGGTAAGATACTAAACGAAGCGGGGGTAAGCTCTATCACTTTGAATATCGGCCTGCAACTATTTTGACTAACGTATCTACCAGCTCTCTCCAACCAAGAAGAAAATACGCCTCGCCTTCATGGGCAAGCTACTCAAAGAAAACCTGCCTCTTACGGAGCAGGGTTGGACTCAGGGTCAGGTTATCAATGCCTATGTCTCTGACAGATAGTCTCAAGAGCATATGGACTTTTTCCGGGAAGGATGGCAGGAACGATGGCGCTTAGTGCGTCGACGAAGAAACGCCATCAGCATTCACCCCTCGAGCCCATTCTGGAGGACGCGCTATTCTTCATCATACTTCGAACCTGATCAACAATGGTAACCCAGCCGTCAAACTGCCCCTGAACACCACGGCGACCTGTTGAGCGTTTCCGTACATTCTCAACACCACAAAGACGGGTTACTTCAACCCGCAAGGCACCTACACACATGGCCAAAGCCATCGACGGCAGCACTCTTTACCCCCAGCTTCAACACGGATACACAAACGCTCCCTTTTTATTTACTATTGGTTTCAGTCTGGATAATACCCCTTTTCATCGCGATCCAATTCCTGCAATCTTTGGCGTTTCGGTGGAGGACGTTTGCCGCCAACAAGAAAAAGCCTTTGTTTGTTTGTCAGCCATTACGAGCATTACACGCTCTCATTAGTTTAGTGATTACGATTCCGCTCAGCCAAAACTGTGGCATACCCAGCGGAATGTACGTATGCATATGCCCTGAGGGGGTTCACCCCTCTGGCTTGGTCAATACCGTACTTAATACGACATGATTCTTCATCATACTCATCGTACCCATGCCATGACGCCATCTGGGTGACATGTACTTGCTTAGAACATGAATAACATCTTGTTTCTACCTACTCAGGACGCCTGACCCGGCTGCACTTTTTACTCTAACCACAAAAAGAAGAGCGGGCGAGAGAGAGAGCCAAAGGGGGGAAAACACAGACAAGGACTCAATCCCTCCCCTCATATTTCATTTCCATTCAGCACCGCCAGCCAGCCAGCCCGCCTTCCCAGGTCGCATCTTTCTCTCTTGCTTCCCTTTTTAGATCTTTCAACCCCATTACGCCCGCAGGCTGGAAATTAGCCGGGAGGGAGGCTGTCAAAACATGACATCGGGGCGACTACTGCAGTATCGATATATAGCACCTACATCCGCCACTTACAACCCTCACGCCGCTGAGCCGATCTTGTTGAGTCCCTTGAGGGATCCCAAGCTCAGCGCCAGGCCTTGCGATCTGCTTCTTATTCTGACGAAGCCGGTGATGGGTCCGTCCTCGCCCTCCTTCTCGATGCTCAGGTTGGCCAGCGCATCCTCGCCTGTGCATTTGTTAGCAATGGAAACATGAAATGGGAAAGTCATTCAACAACTTACCGAATACGCTGCGGGCGTACAAGTTGGCGCTCAAGAACTGGCAGTTGCCCTTCATACTGGCCTCGGGAGTCAGGCAGTTCATGTTTGTGGCCGCCATCAGCTGCTCCAAGAAGTCACGCAGCGACTTGGCCTTGGAGTTGATGTTGACCTTGTTCTCCCACTCGAACTCGGTCCACATTGTGCGGAACTGCGTCTCGGTGCAGGTGGCGGGCTGAATGTAGTCCATAATGTCGACGTGGAGGTCGTTCAGGATGACAACGTTGGTATCCGTAGAGTGGGCACCGTCGTAGACAACGTTGCCGAAGATGACACCGGTATCCGTGGAGGAAACCTTGATAGTGCACTGGACATTGTGGAAGTCGTGGGGACCCAGGTTTTGTGTCGTCGGCCTCTCGACAACCTTGAGGTCACCGAGGGTAGCAAATTCGACGGAGAGGTTCTGCAGCGTCTCCATAGTCTGGTTGACCAGGAGGACGTCAAGAACGATATCGAACTGGTGGACCTTGACGTAAGCCTCGGCGTAGACAGGGTCGGAGAAACCGGTAAGCTGGACGACACGGCTGAGCTTGGAGGAAAGATCCTCCGCCGTGGCCTCACCACCGGTGGCTCTCTCGAGGTCAACCTCAATCTCGTCCAAACCGTCGGTGGCGTTCTTCTTGGAGAGCTGGCGGATCTGGACGACATCGTCAACCTGGATGGCAGTCTTGGCCTTCTCGACAGCCTCCTTGGCGAGACGCTTCTTCTCCTCGGCCTGAACCATGGCACGGAAAGCCTTGCGGGTGTCGTCGAGGTAGACGGTCTCGAGCTCCTTGTGCTGGTTGAACTCAGCCAAAGAGCGGACGCAAGACATGATACGGTCGACAGAGTCCTCGTCAATGGGAGCCTTCACGAATTGCGACTGACCAACACGGATGATGGAGATCATGATGAGCATGGCCTCACCGCGGAGGGCGTTGGTGCGACCAGCCTCCTTGGAGATCTCGGCGTGGCGCATGACGAGCTTAACCAGGGTGGCGGAGAGAACAGTTGCGAGGTAGTAGTCACCGTCGAGGATGAGCTGGCGCAGAGGAGGCTTCTGGGCAGCCTTCACGGCCTCCAACTTGGCAGCAACGGAAGACTGGCTGGTAAGAGCAGTCTCGGTAGCGTAGGTTCCGTCAGCAAGCACCTTGCGGGAGCCGGTCGGTTGTGCGGGCTTGGAGTGTCCATTGACCTGCTCCTTGTTCTCCTCCTCACCATCACCGTCAAGCAGCCTCTGCTCCGAGGCGAGAATGGGGATCTCGCCCAAGCTGGAACGGATGCTCTTCCATGCGTCCCTGATGTCGCGCTCCTCCAGAGAGTACTCTCCAATAATCCACATAATACCCCTGTAAACCTTGCCGGCGCGAACCTCGCTGAGGGTAGCCACCAACCTCTGCACAATCGGCTTGCGCAGCTTGGGGAACTTCTCAACGACCTCCTTAACGAAGTTGATGACGTCGACGGCGGAGGTGTTGTTGAAGTCGGCGATAAAGTCCATGAGCAGGTCGACGACGCTAGCGGCAACCTCGGAGAACTTGATGGCGCACTGGTGGATGGAGTGAATGAGGAGCTGGCGGTACTCGGTGTTCTTCTCGTATTCCTGGTCCACGGTCTTTGACAGCTCCTTCTTCAGCAGGAGCACGACCTCCTCGACGTTCTTGCTCGACACCATCTCGAGGGCAATACCCAGAGCCTTGCGGCGAACATCGATATCGGGGCTGGAAAGGACGCGCAGAATCTCCATCACCAAATCATCCAAGATACCCTCGTTCTTCTTGCGAAGCTGGTCCACGCGGTCGAGGACAATCAGCTTGACATTGTTATCCGCCTCCTTGATGCTGAGCTCAATGAACTTGGCAGCGGCGGCCTTTACTGCGACGGGGTTGTTGGTGAGGGCGGTTAATGACGAGGCAGCTTCGTAAACGACGGTCGAGGTGCTGGCTTCGAGAAGGTCGAAGATGAGACGCAGATAGCGCGCCTGCTCGGGTCAGCCATGCGCCAAGCGAATTATCCTTGGGATATCCTACCTTGTTCTGGGAGTTCTGAATGGCATCCTTGCGAATGAACTCGAGCTCAACGAGCTGCAGGAGCTCTTCTGCGTTGGGGATGCCCTCGAATACTGTGCTCAGGTAGAGCAGAGCCTTCTCGTGGTCGATGGAGGCCAGGGCGGCGAAGGCATTGCGCTTGCACGTCGGGTCGTTCTCGGCTTCGAGGAATGTGCTGATGAGGTCGGAGGCATCCGGGATTAGGGAGGCGCTGTGTGTGTAGATGGAGGAGACGGCGAAGACTGCGTTCTTGCGCACGTATGCGTGGCGGTGCTCGAGGCACTGTCTCGCGGAGGACAGCAGAGGTTCGATAAGTTCGGGTTCCCTCAGCTTGCAGAGGAAGCGGAGCGTGTTTCCGCGAATGTACTCGTTGGGATGTTGCAGGTCGTTTCTGATACCATTGCTGAGGCCAGAGTGTCAGTAGGGGTGCATGCAGCTTCAGCTGGAGGCCAGAGGTGCCACGAACCAGACCAAGATCATTTCCTGCTTGAGCTTGCCGTTGGAGTCGAGCTTGGGGCAGATCTCGTAGTAAAAGTAGAGGAGCTTCTTCAGAGGCTTGTGCTTCGAGGGCATGACGAAACGGATGATGTGCATAAGGAGGTTAGGCATTGGGTCGCCGTTGAGCATGATGGTGAGAATGCGCTTCATGGTCTCGACCTTGCTCTCGTCGGTGCCCTTCTCGAGCTGCGTGCGCAGGTCGGCGAGGGAAGGGACGTCGGCGGCATTGTCCTGGTGCACCAAGCTGTAGGCATTTTCCAGAAAGGAGGCCATCGTGGCGGCAGTGTGTTGGTGTTGCTGGCTCGGTGCCGGCGCGGTGAGGGTGACGACGTGTTCAAGGGGGGATTAAGATGGAAGTCGGGGGGTTCGAGTGGGATGTGTCGAAGCTGGGCGGTGGGGATTGGGGATTGGACGGCAGTGTGTCTAAGGGACGGGGGGAATACGTGTTAGCTCAGGGAGCTCCTTCTCTACGATTGGAACTTTTTTTTGGGCGATGCAAGTGATGGAGACTGGAAAGTGACATACTCTTCTAGGCCATCCGTTTTACTCAATCCACTTCCACACGAGAGCTCCTTCGGCAAGCATGCGTCGTCAGTGTTTGTGTGGGTTGTTGGGAGCAGTTCGGTCCAGTTCACTGATTCGCGATACACGGCTGCGCAACTGTAGCATATACCGCCGGGCCCTCTGTACACTGATCTGGCCCTTCGTGAATATCTGTCCCCGGGCGCCGAACAGGTGTCAGTAAGCGAAACACGTGACGCCAGTGGACCCTTGCACTCGGAGCGGATTAAGACGCCGGAGAGACCCAGCCAGAGCCTCTGCCAACGGAGCTCTTCCATTGGCCGAAGCTCTACCCACTCATGATGGCAGACCCCGCCAGGGCTGAGGGACGACGGGGGCCATCCCGCTTTTCTTGCATTCCCATTCCCCAGCCTTGCAGCTCCCAAAGACACCAAGTCGCGACGAGACACCGACACCGACACCGAGCTTTGTCGACGACGCCGCCCACCATGTCGGCCCCCAACGATCAGTTCTACCTGCGATACTAGTGCGTCCGGTCATGCTGACCTCTTTTGGATTGCACCCAGCTAACGGCAATAGCTCCGGCCACTCTGGACGCTTCGGCCATGAGTTCCTGGGTAACTCGCCCCGCCGATCTCGACGTTCGTTGCGGCAAACCCGCTGACACCGATCCCAGAGTTTGACTTCCGCGTTGTCGGCGACGGACGCAGTGCAGTCGCACGATATGCCAACAACTCCAACTACAGGAACGACAGTTTGATTCGCAAAGAGAGTACGACACCTCCCCGCTTCACAGCCGGCAGGCAAGGGCTGATAAGTGCGTCTAGTGTGCGTCAGCGCTCTGGTCGTCGAGGAGATCAAGCGCATCATCAAGACGAGCGAAATTTTGAAGTGCGCTTCCAGACATCAAGGCCCCAGAAATCGACTAACACCCTCTGCAGGGAAGACGACTCAAAGTGGCCGCAAAAGAACAAGGACGGACGCCAGGAGCTTGAGATTCGGCTGGGGAACGACCATATTTCTTTCGAGGTGGGTAGGAGTCATCCGTTGGCTCTCAGGGCACCTGGCTGACATGTTTCGGGCAGACCGCTAAGATTGGCTCCTTGGTCGACGTGACGGAGTCTGCAGACCCGGAAGGATTGCGAGTGTTTTACTACCTCGTGCAGGACCTGAAGGCTCTCGTCTTCAGCCTGATTGCCCTGCACTTCAAGATCAAGCCCATCTAAACGCGATCGACGACAACGACCCCGACGACAGCGGACGGCGATGAAGAATGGAGATACCCGAGACCGGCAACAACAACTGACCACCGGTTCAGCGAGGGGCCAACTGTTTAATGTGGGAGAGGGTTTGCTACGAGACGAACATGCAATGACGAAAAGCCCCCCGCATGCCGCGTGACCTGCGGACTGCGGACTGCGGGAAACAGCCCGACTACTTCTAGAAAATGCATAACGATGCGGGTGTATGCATGAAGCAGTTCTTGGGCCCCTTCAGCTCGGACATGACGGCTGGTGTGGGGGGGACGGATGAAAAAAGCAGAGAGAGATAATCAATCGATTGGTAACTAGCCATCCCTATTTCATGAGGTAGACTTACACGGGCGTGGCCAAATTTGGTCGCGATCCCGCAATAACGAGACACGTCTTTTTTTTTTTTTTCGATGATACTGTCATGCACGCCCGTTGCCTCGCACGAAAAGGGGACGTCGGCCACGCAGATCGGCCGTGTTCTGAGATTAGGTCGGAGATGGGAAGGGTCTGAGGTGGTGAACTGACATGCGGGCCGCTGTCATCAGCTAATGACGAGAAGCTAACCCAATCTCGCCGCTCCTGATGATGGGATGTTGGGTTGTGTCACACAGCTCTTGAGTTCGCGTTGGCTCGAGCTGTCAACGGGAGCAGTGCCGAGTCAGACTTGTAACGGCGGATTCTGGACTAAGCATAACAGGGCCGGACAGATCGGGTCGGTCGGGGAGATGCGGGTTCTCGCAAGGAGAGGGCCAGGGCAGGGCTGAGACCAGACAGCGAACGGCGGGAGTGCGGCTTTACTGCTTTATTGCTTTAGCGGCGATGGTTCAAGGCGGGATGTGAGGCGTGACGGGAGCTGGCTGGTGCCCGGCGTTCGGTTCGGTTCAGGTCAGTTCAGGGGAGGAGGGCATGAGGGGGGCCAGCGTGACAGCATGATAGTCCGTCCTCTTGATCTCCATGAGGTCGAAACAAGCATGATGAGCGGCGAATTGCTAATAATGTAGATGACGGGTGTTATTGTCCCTCTGTTGAGCAATGTGCTTTGAATATCGAAAAGGGGGAGGAAGGCATTCCATCATCCAACGGTAATTAGCTGGCACAGACGGCAGCGACAATGCATACGTGATGCGATGGGCTCACAGACAGCTGGCAGGGAGCTGCTTGGTCGGGATGACTGTAGGCGGTTTAGAGGATCTGCCTTGTGTGTGTTGTGTCTGTAGCACTGCCTTCCTCCATTTCATGTGAGGCAATGGAAAGGGATGAGGCTTAGACGGGAGTTGAGAGGTGAGGCGGTTGGTCGTGGCTGGGATCCGCCTTGCATTAGACGTTGAGTACTCGGGCAAGTAGATGAAGTGTCTATTGCATGCAGATGGACATGCAGCTCAAGGCAAGATGAGGCAGGTAAATTGCAGTGCTTGGACTCGTTGGAAAGAGTCACCTCACCTCGGTCTGAGTCTTGAGTGGATATTCATACCTGCGAGAGCACAGAGTTTGGCTCCAGTCTGTGCCACTGCGGCAGGTTTACGGTTGAAGAGACGGGTGCAGCGCCCGCTGACGCCCTCTGTTCCATTCCTCGGGGCCCTGGGGGTGAAGTGATGAATGTCACTGGGCCCGGGCCCTGGAACTGCAGATGCGCCCGTCCATTGCAGCGGGATCCGGCAGGGCAGCGCCTGCAAAAACGGGGACTGCGAGCCCCCCGCCAGCCCGAAAAGGGCCCTGCGCCTGGGGGGGAGAGACGAGAAGAAAATTCAGCAGGACAATAGACATGAGACCGCTGGCTGCAGCGCCTAGGTAGGTATGTACCCAGGACAGATGCACGAGCATTTCATGGAGCGATGGGGGGGCAGTTCATGTTCGGTACCTCTGGCAAGCCTCTGTTTACTAAGTAAGTGCTCTCAACCTGCGCAGTCATGAGGTGAGCTGGCTTCCCATCTTTTGTAGCGTTTGGGGGCCCGGGACGAATCAGACGACACAAAAGTGGCTGAAGCTGGAGACGTAGAGGCGACGACGAGAGACCCAGCAAGAGGCTGGAGGCGCTGAGGTGTTCCCGTCAGTTCTGCTGGCAGTGCTTGTCTGTCTTAGTGCGTGACGCTTTCAGCCCAGAAGAACCCTCCGCTAGGGACGTCGACAGCCAAATTCACGGCCAAGGGGTGTTCAGCGACGCCGCTAGAGAAGTCGGGGGCAAAGTCTCGTGGCTGGCGCCCGTCTAGCGTGGTTCTTTGACAGAGAGCGAACGCCAGAAGCGACAGCTAAGCATCAAGACTGGTAATGAACCCAGTAGACACTGCAGTGGACGGACAGCAATAGAGTGAGAGCCAGAGAGACAGAGAGCGAGAGAGAGACGGACAGATGGAGGCTTGACAGCGCAGAAATGCCACATGCCGGGGAGACCCTTCTAACGTGGCTAGCGGTAACGATGCGATGGAGAGAAATGCCCGTTCTCAGGTACTTTCTCTGCCTGTGAGATATGGCAGGTACATGTACATTAGAGGGGGTATTCAGCAATGAATGGGGGAAGGCGGGGGGAGGGCGTCATCGGCTGCAATGCATTGACGGTGGACTCCTTCTCTCTCCAGCTCCCTTTTTCGCTGCATCTTGACTGCAGTATTTCGTCTGTTGCCGCCATATGTATCCGTAGCTGTTCATGTGCCCGTACGCTGTGCTGTCTGCTGTCTGCTCGTGTGCTCTCCGTCTCACCCATTCGATTATTCGAACCGAATAACGCAACAGTCAGAAAATCATCAAACAGCAGCAAAAAAGGATACTCAACACCATCTCAACATCGCAACCAACCCGCGAGAACGATAACATTGCCTTTTCATTTACACGCACCTTCAACATTATCCGTTGCTTCCCCGCCAATCACCTCACTCCATCCCATCTCGTCCCATCCCGGCAACAAAGCCCATCGTCCCCTCCTCCCCCCCATTTTGCATTCCGCGACCCCCCATCTTCCCTCTCCCGCTTTCCCCCAGTCGCAGAGCAGCAACAGAGAAAAGCCCACTTACTGGCCCAAGATCCAGTGGTAGTGTCCTCTCCCCAATCGTCACACCCCCGTCCCATTTTCCACTTGGTTGATTGAAGGACCTTGGTTGGCCCTGTCCCTCTTGCCCTCCATCTTGCTCTGTCTCCGTCTCCGTCTCCGTCCCTCTGCAGTCTTCACGGTTCAGGCCCAGGCCCTTCCTACCCGTCTCTGCAACCCGTCTCTGCATTTTCTGGTGCTGCCCTCCCGCCGTCGCACTTGTACCTTGGAGAGAGAGGTACCTCACTTTACCTGCTAAGGTAATTCGAGAGTGTCTGCCGCTGCCTCTAGCATAGCCGCATGGAGATTTGTCTCTGTTGAGCTGTGCCGTCGCTGTTAGTTGTGGCATTGCGTTGTACTGCAACTTGCCTACAGATACCTAGCCAACCCTCCCATTCCTCGCTGCTCGCCAGCATTTGCATCTGCCCGACCTCGCCTCTGTCACATCAGCCATACATCCGCCGCTTCTGTGACAATTCTATATTTCTCGCCCAAAATCTAAGCTTCGTCACCTGCGGCAAGCTTCTCCTCTCTGTTTTGGCTCAAATCCCGCGCCGAACCCCCGACATCGTCATCCCACCAGGCGCAAAGTATTCTTGCGGCCCTACTTTACTTACCTTCTTCACCTCGCCCCCGACTTCCCACATCGCATCAGCTTGCTCGACGACGCGGTGTTGGATTCCTCCCGACCAATGCCCCTGTCCGCCGCCGACCGCCTTCTCTCGCTTGGCAGCTTGTGATTCCGTCCACTCGGAGCCAACCTACCTTACCCCAAGGCGCTGCTCCCACTGGTCTGAATCACCTCCTCGCATTCATCCCCTCGACCGAGTTTCCTCGAGGAACAACCAAGCAGCCCACCCGGCCACTTCGCTGCCCTCCGACGTCGAAATAATCATCGCCGCATCGTTGCACCCGAACCCGAACCCGCCCAACGACACTCCATCTGCTCTCCCTCCGCGCTGTTGCCCCCCCTGCTGTCATCATTGCGGAGCCCTTCAACCCCTGCTGGCGGTAAAGCCGCAGCGTTCCCCGTCGACGCGACCGACCCCCATCGCCCGACATCGACGTCCACCGCTGCCAGTGCCGTTGCTGCAGCGCTCCATCCCGTCTTCACGATCATCCAAGACACACGACACCTTTCCCAGCCCAGCATGCCGACTCCCTCATCCAACCCTCCTCCCGACCCCCACTCTCCTCGATCGCACAGTTTCTCGACATGTCCTGAAGACAGCAACTCAAGATCTCCCCAACGCAGCTGGCGTCCACCCACCGGCCCAGATGCCAACGACGGCCCGGCAGCGATGGATCCCCATCACGACCGCGACCGCATGGACGAGGACGCCTCTCCCGCTCCCGTCAGCGCCCCAATGTCTCCCACCGAGGGCATAAGCACCGAGGTCATTCTCGACGACGAGCCCACATCCGCCGTCTCTTCCTCTAGATCAACAACCATGTCGCCGAGGCCGCAGTCGGGCGACACCGCCCACTCGTCGACTGCGGCTGATATGGAGTCTTTCAAGCAAGGCGAATCAGACGAGGAGGGACACTCGGCCGGTGACAGGCTACGGGCGTCCCGTGCTGATGGATCGAGGCGGCATGATACCAGGCAATCCGCAACGACACTACACGACGACGGCAAGGGCATGGATATCGATGCCGATGACGTGTGGGAGGAGGAGCTAATGGCACCCTCTATGGGTTCAGAATATTCCAACATGAGGGTATGCTCACCCCCATCGATGACTGATTCGATGCACCGGTTTGCTGACTGTCACAGATAATTCCATCTTCACCATCGTCCTTTTTGCGGCCAGGGAGCAAGTTCCGCGGCACACAGCAATCCGAGCGACAGGTTTACGACGTCCAGGTCGAAATCAAGCATGTCGACCTGAGGGAGTCATTCCTCTGCGGCTATCTGCGTATTCAAGGTACAAACAACCAACAGCTCCCCCGC